GGTGATCTTTCAGTCACAGTACAGAAGTAAACACTCAAAACTTACACTAAACATTAAATGAGAACCTCTCATAACCTTCACAGCACTGCTCTCTTATCCAATGGAAAAAGAAAACTAATTATCAATCAGTTGCAACTAGAAACTAATCCCCATAATTCAGTGCAGTAATTATAGACAAATAAAAAAAAATTAAGTCAATGTTAACACCTCTAGTTCCTTCGCATGATTTGCTCCTATTGTTTGACACAACAAGGTGCAGACACTTAGCCATATGAAGACTAGACAGACACACATCTATCCTCTCTGGGGGCTAGGTTAGCATCGGTGTGTGCTATTTAAAAACACCCACAACTATTGGAAAAAAAAATCAAACAAGCATTCTAAATTTGTTCTTGTTGACTACTCCTCTGCATGCAAAGAGATCGGAGCTATCAGATAGCGTTTTGTGTTGGAAACACAGCTTTTTCCTAAACATGTTAATTTCAAGACACCCTGTCTTTAAACACTGACATCCACTAAACACTGACGTTTCATGGCAATGACATTTTCCATTTGCTTGTACCTTGTACATCTACTTTTATTCTTCCTCACCTTGATCTAACAAGACCTCTCCTTCCTCAGATAAAAATGTTAGCTTTCTTACATTCACTGAGCATCATTTTTTTCCTAAAATACACCAAAAGAATGCTCATTCATCAGAACAAGCTGTAATTATTCATATACTATAAAAGCAAACTATAAGGTCAGACCACATAGCTTCTTCAGATTGATCCACTAACAAAAGAGCAAGCACAGCAGTCCTTCCTCAATCGGAGCTCCCACTGACTTCAGGTTATAAAAAAAGTCACGATTTGGGCCAGATCTTTTTGAATGCATGACCATTTCCACAGCAGCAAATTTTAGTAAGCTTTAAAGACCTACGTTCAGGATAAGATTATCTGGCCGCGGAGCCCCAATACATGAAGAAACCACATTGAGAAGAGGAAAATCATATGCATCCAAACCTCCTAACAGCGAGGAGAGAGAGAGAAAAAAAAGTGAACTTTCCTTGACCTCTAAGCAGAGATTTGTCATTTTAAAAAAAGGAGGGGAGCGCGGCTGCGGAAAGAAAGAAAGAAGGAAGGAAGGAAAGAGAGAAAGAAAGAAGGAATCATACCGAAGACCCGGGGGGTGGGGGGCACGGGCTGGCCGAGGTGTCCGCGGACAGCCTTCCCCCCCGTA